TTTACTACAAATGCATGAATCTAATGCTCCACCTTTCAAATCTACAGTATATCAAATATGGTAAATGAGGTTACTTCTTTAATCACAAAAATGTTTCGAGTCTATCTTAATTGATTAATTAATCAATTAGTTCTAATTAGGTCCATCAAATGATTTCCCCCAACAAATAAATAAATAGCAGGCAGACTCAGCCCCCGCTGCTTATGTCTCCTCTTCTCTCGGTAGAAGCTAAAGGAGAAGATCATATTCTGCTTTCAAACATGGATTATGTCTCATCAGTGCTTTCGTTTGATCAAAACACCGATGACCTCTTCGAATCTTTTTCTTTTCCCAGCTTTGAACCTGATGAACTCTTCCTGGCCTTGCCCCAGGATACTGATTTTCTGAGCAAGAAAACCAACAATTGCACAGGCTGCGTCGAAAACGGAAGCAACACCGGTCGGCGTAAAGCACCGAAGACTCCCTCCAGTTCTGGTGCCAATAAGGGTGTAAACCCTCCTGACAATAAGAAGAAGAAGATCAAACACAGAGAGATAGAGAGGCAAAGGAGGCAGGAAATGGCCACCCTGTATGGGGCTGTGAAATCATTGCTTCCTCCTGACTATCTCAAGGTATATGAATATTAAAATTCTCAACTTAATTTCAACTGGAATCTTTCGCACAACTCAAGTTAATTAAAGTTTTTGTCCTTACACTGGATTTTTCAGGGCAAGAGATCGGTATCTGATCATATGAATCAGACTGTGAGATATATTAATGATTTGCAGCGCAGGATTGGGGAGTTAAATGAAAAGAGGAATGAGCTTAAAAGATTGTCCAGTTCTTGCAGTTCAAGTTTTGTTCCACAATGTTTACAAGGCTGTCCTGATCAGGACACTACTGTAACTGTTAGACCTTGTCTGGGCGGCGGAGGGGTGGAGGTTGTCATAAGCACTGCCTTGTCTCAGGGGCTTCCTCTTTCCAGTGTGATTCACGTTCTGATTGCAGAAGGCCTGAGTATAGCCAACTGCATTTCAACCAGGGTGGATGAGAGGTTGATGCATACTGTTGTGTCTGAGGTAATTAAATCATGTCAATTTCTTGAAATGTGAGGTCTTCATTTTTGTCAAAATTTTAAGCCTTTTGATATTACAGGTGAGTGTTGGAAGAGTCGTTGATCCATCTACCCTGCAAAAGAAATTGGAAGAATTGGCTTTTCACTCATCAAGACTAGATTTTGTCTTTGATCTGCTATTTGATTGATTTCTTTGTGGGGATTTTTCATGTTTTAATAAAAAGTAATTATATGCAAGTTTCGTGCCTAAAAATGTTGCTTCTGTGTTAATGTTGGGTCTGGAAATGGTTTCATAACTATCCCACCTTCATTCTCCAGGTTAACTTGTATCTATAAAGTTGATGATGTTGATTTGTGGCTGCCATATACATACGTCTTCATCTTTCTCTCCTGCTAGTGTTCATCTCATTTTGTATTGTATAGCTGCAGCCTGCAAGTTTGTCTCTTCACTACCTATATTAATTTACACCGGATGTTTACTCCAGTGTTTCAACCGAGATTCATAACATACAAACTCTAAATGAAAGTATAAAAGTTTTTTTTATTTATTTATTTTAGTTATAGATCAGATCTTTGTTTTGTAATCTAACCTTACTAGATTGCAAAACAAGAACCATTGAATAAGAGATAAATCCTAATATCAAGGAACTAATCTCTATCTAATAATTTAAATTATGCAGTTCAAACTACACAACACCTTTTTGTTAGTTATATATACTATTAATTCCATAATTCTAGCAAGCATATTGATGCTAGCAACAGTAGGAATTTGGATGTCCAATATGTATATGATGATCATCTATGTTTCTCAAATTGCCCATGAAAACTGAAAAGTTTATAAGACCTTGTTTTGGATCGACTAAAAAGTTAGGAGGTAATTGATATGTTTGATAACAATGATGGTTAAGTAGTGTGTGTGTGTAGATGTGAGTATAGATAAAGCCTCCAGTGGGAGTATATACCATTGCCTCTTGAAAATCTAGAATTCTAACATTAATTCATCATTTAAGGGTGGAGAGCATATATGTACCTTTATAGTTAGGTCTTAATACCATAGGTCATTTCTTTCAAAATTTCATTTGCTTTCTCATTATCTTGAATCCTATGTTTAGATTGAGGAAATGAAGGGAAAAAGAGAGGAAGAGAGGAAGAGAGGAAGAGAGGAGAGAGGTCTCTTCTCCTTTCTTTCTCTCATTCAAATAAATAAGAAAACTAAAAGAAAAAAAATAAAGTAAATTTTTTTTCCTTCTCTTCAATTTTTTTATAACTAAATAGAGAATTTTCTTTTCTATCTCTCCTCCTTTTTCTTTTATACCTCTTAAACTAAACATGCTAAAAAAACTAATTTTCTTTTCAATTTTGCCTATGCATACTGGCGTTCTCTGAAACAAAAAGTGTTCATTTGCAGTTTAAGATGAGCGAAAATAAAGGTGTTGATCTAGGACAGGGATAAATGTAGGTCAATTAAAAGGAGATAAAACAAAGAGAAAATATAATATCAGAAAAGAAAGAAGATAGCTTTTCGTGCAAATGATGCAATTAATTGGTTAGGTACATGTCCTAACCAACTAATGAAATGCATTAAAACCATAAGCAAATAGGTAGAAAAACATGTTTCTTCCTCATTTAACTTTCAGTTCAAAAATATATATATATATAT